TTTGATATGATAATTATTAAGTTACTTAAGAATCTTAAAACATGAGTCAACAAGAAATAGAATATTTTACATTTTTCTTTATTCTGTTCTATAACTGATATTTACGAATCAAATGAAAAAATGTATCAATCATTCTATTTTTGTAGGTGGATAAAATTTGTCTACCATTTGAAATATTTAGAAACTGCTAATGCTTGACAATCAGACTATATTAATGAATACTTCGATAAGTTAATACTTCCACTGGTCATGGCTTCTCACTAGATCTTCGAAAATTACCTTTCAAAGCTAGTCACTAATGAGCACATGATAAATATCAGTTTAGGGTTGTGGAGATTGTTGAGCTTTTATTGGTATAAAATAATATCATGTGCTCACTAGTGACTGGCTTGAAGAGGTAATTTTCAGAGTCCCAGTGAGAAACCGTGAACACCGGACTTCAACCGTGTTGAATGTGAAGCAGTTAATCATCGAAGTTAATATCTTTAAAAAAACTATGTGATAAACACCACTGGTTATATGGTTTTTAAGATAATAACCTATAATTATTTCTCATCATCAAAAATTTTTCGTTAAATAATTTGGAAAATAGTCTTCAGTAACAAACTTATTCCTTAGTTGAATTGTAGGGATTGAAGACAAAAGAAAACTTAAATATTTGTCAGTTGTGTATTCAGAATGTCTATTATAAGCTAGTTTCTCCACTGATTGACTTACTTAGTTTGACTATTAGTAAGGTTTCAATACGCAAAATGTGAACGTGGTTACGTCACCACAATTGCTTACTGTTTATCTTTCCTTGAGACTGTATAGATTAATAGCAAATTTGCTGAGAAATATTTACACTGTAAACAAAACCCACTGAACTGTAACCTTAAGACATTTTGCTGAGAAAATCTGGCACAAACTGGTTGGCTACTTGTTAGTAGTTCAAAGGATTAATTAAAAATATTTTGAATACTAACTCTCTAGAAATAATTTATTTCAATAATAATGTGAAGAAATTTTTTCGTTTAAAAATAGTTACTATCAAAATTTGACAAGGTATCGGGATTGGTGAGAAAACATGGGGGCTTGAAGAAAAAATCATCGGGGACTTATTGCTAGTATGGAAATAACGCTGCACGTGGCATCATAATATGATGAATATTCCATTGGTTATAATACTATTAAACCATTGATTAGATAGATTTATATTTTTATCTTCAGTCAAACAAACAAAATCTCAAATTCTGGTCATTAAGTTGAATCTGGGACTGCAATCGTTTCGTCTATTTTTGAAAGTCATAAACATCAATGGGATGACTTGAGCAACCAATACAATGTGAATTAAACTTCACCACATCGCATGAGCCAGTGGCTATGTGGACTCAGAAATTAATTAAATAAAGCGATGGCGTTTGAGGCGAATGGTACTCGATTTGAGCCCCGGAGTTTGGACCAACCTTTAGACCCAGGTACATTCAGCTGATGAAACGCGCATCCTGGAATCCACTGTTATCCAACATCCATCTCTGCTCAGAAACTCACTTTTTATACTTTATAATCTCCTGTTAGGTTGTGTAGAAAGAAACTAAATCTATACTTTTTATGTGTATTATCCTTACTGTTAGTCTGTATGTTAATTTTTGTCTTTCAATATTGGTAAATCTGACTGAACGTCTAAGTCGGTTTCCTAAGCTCGTCTAATAAACCCAGGCTAAATCTGCACGATAAAATGGACACGTGAGATAAGGCGCGAAATATGGAAAAGAAAGCCTTACTCTGAGATTCCTTTATGTACAAAAAATTTAGGGTATTTTTTGCATTTCAGACGGCCTTGGGTTTCTGCAAGGTTCTGGAATGCCTCTAAACACAGTAGCAGACTAGATACTAAGATGATGTATTTTGTTTATGTACTTCCCAGTACATATTAGAAAATCTTTTAGATTTAATTTACTGAATATTAGGTAACCACGCAAATAGTACTTTAAATAAATATGTTGCACAAGTAAAAAAATAAAGTTGTAAAGAAATGAAATACAGCATTAATAAATAAACAGAAATAAGTGAGTGGGAACGGTTCGTAATAGGTGAGACTATTCCGTCAAATAAAATAATCCAACTAGGAAGTTCCTCACACTTTTATCAACAGTGTAAAAGAACAATTTTTATTCTTGTTTATGTCTGATAACATCTCAAGTCACTGTGTTGCTCCTCTCTATATTCCCAATCAGGGAGTCGTGATCACATACAAATCCCAGTTCTAAACAATTTTCCTGCATATCCAGACAGGCTTTCGTAAACAGATCACCTCTGAATTTGCACACCTAGTTCAAGAGTCTGTTATTTATGCGTGAGGTAAAAGACTTTATGTCGACATTCATGATAAGTGTCCAAGCTACTAAATAAGGTAGTCTAGGATAGTGACACTAACTGCATTATCGTGGCTGCAAAGGAGTACGTTTTCAAACCTCAGGATTGCTAACACGTTGCTGCCATCGAATGTCAGCTACCGTTTGGAGACAACAACGGTAGGACACAGAAAGTTGTCTAACATTCTTACCTGAGAAATACTAGATTTGACAAATATTAGATCTAAACTACTCTCATCGAAGCATTGTAAACTTAAACTTTAACAATTAAACTGATCTCACTACAGCATCAGAGATAGCTGAGACTGAGATAAGCCCCTTTGACTTTTAGTATGTGCAGTTTGGTCTTTTTTCTTCACGCATACGATCCTTAAATAGACAAACCTAGAGTGCATTCCCGTAAACTATCGAAGGTGGCCTTAATATTAGGGGACAAATCGATTCTTTGTTTGTAATCAGTACGGAGTTACTCTAAGGTTAAGCAGAGTATGGAGATATGATCAATAAATCCAAGACCAAAATTAAACACACTCTACTCTTCATGGATCGGTCTTTCACTGGTTTTGGACAATCTGCTGAATATGACGAAATTGAATAATTTGGATGCGATCGATTTTAGATTTATCCCCGTATATTTTTCGAATAGATGACGTAAGCGTGTTTTAAAGTGGGGACAACGATCACTTCATTGAACTCCATAGACCTCAAGCCTTTTCAAATAACATAGTCATTTCCCTGACCAGAATTTCTCTATCATTCTTAAGACTGTTAAGCCTAAGTTGCCTGAATTTGGTTAACTGTTGTCCTCTGAATTCACAGAGCCTTTAAGAAATTCACCTCACTAGGTACATCAGTTGTCGCATTCCGTAGATGACAGTATAGTCAAGACAGCGGGTCTATTAATAAAAAAGTGGGTATATCTTCCACGATTTCTTTGGATTGTATTGATTGTGGCATCCCTTCAACTTCACAGATTGTTTTCCCACATGAGATTTCTTGTACCCAGTGACTCAGATGAGTTCAAATAGCTTTCGAAAGTTGACAAATGCAAATGCTCCTTCCAAATCACTAGCAATCTCAAACCATCAAGTTCCATTACTTAAGTATTAATTGCTTAAGTTAATCGCAAAAATGTTCTCCAGAGTAGACCAACGTGCCTTAAGCATTTGTAAAGTAGTTGGATATCCAAGGGTTTATAAGTGAGACGTTTCGTAAGGCCGCGAGAGAAGAAACCCTCCAGTTTTCTGATATCATGCAAACACATACAATGATCGTCTACACTTTCTATTGGGTCAACTAATACCAGTTAGGATGAATTGGTATGATTGTGATAGATGCTACATATAATTCTCTTAGATCAATTTATCAAGAACGAGACTTTCTCTAGTCACCAAAAGCTAAAGTATGTTTGGGGTAAGCATGTTATGATCAGAGTGTAGATAATTACACCCGAAGAGTGGCAGTCTTTTGCAAAACCACACCTCTGTTAGTTGATTCCTATGTGGCCGATTTAAGTTCAGACTTCAGTTACACGAGTAAAATACTGGGTAGTAAACTAGCCGCGACAGTTGCTGAAAGTTGATTTTCAAGTCTTCACGAGACAATCACTTTTGTTTGACGTGCTCAGTACAAGTCGGATAATTTAATTATACTCCATAACTGGGTCAGACCCCAAATGGCCTGGTACTGTCGAGAGTGGGGAGAGTCCGCTCTCCCTCTCCAAATGCTCTCACATGGCCACGCGTATATAGCCTCTGCCAGGGAAGTCCTACTCACTGTCTTCTCGTGGCGTTACTGTTGTTTACGAAATTGAGAGGACAAAAAGCGAATGTCCGGCGCTTTAACCGGGTTGGTGGACACGGAAAGTTCACCTAGGGTAGTTGGAAAACCCTGACTCCAAACCAATGGTGCACATGGGCTCCAGTATCCTGAAGGAGCAAATGGCGTATGAACCAATTTTTGGTCACCGGCTACCATGGGAATGCATCTGCCTACAATGCTCCACTGCCTTGTTGACTAGACCTTTATGTCAAACGCTCGAGGTGTGGTCCCCTAAGAAAACCACCTGTTTCAGTTCGGACACCTGGGCAGTAACACATCCCTCACATAAATCAAATGAGATTTGTTCGGCGCATATATATCTGGTGCCCCTTTGTACCAATATTTATGTGTTTAAATAAATACATAAATTGAGTTAGCTCGAACTCCATTTAGATTCCAGTCATTATGACATACCTGTGCTCATATTAATTAATCTGTACACATATATTTTTTTTGCTCGATCCGGTGATAGAACTTATTTGGATCTTTCATTGATGCAAACAATAAAGTATATCTTGTGAGGGACTAATACAATAATTGTACCTTTGTTACTATGTGATTTATAAATAGGTGACAATCAATATTCTGATAAATATAGTTTACATACTTCCCAATTAACTTTTAACTATCTAAGTAGGAAGCATTTTTTCAGTCCTAATAGGGTATGATAAACTATAACGACAGATAATTAAAAAAAATTATTCTTTTTTGGAATTTTATTTTGTCTGTACATAAAATAGGACATCAAAAATATAATCTCAACATTGATTGAAGAAATCTGATTCATTTAAAGAGTAAATCAATGTTCATATATAAATGGTTTTTAATAAGCATAGTTCTCTTGTTCTTTCTTTAAAACGAAAAACAAAAAAAATAATGAATGAATAATGAAATAAAAAAGATTTTCGGTATGTAGATAAACAATGAAAAAAAAAATCTTTAAGGTAGTCTCTATGTAGTGAAGTCTGATATCAGCATATAAATACAAATGGTGAGTATTATAATAAAAGAAATTTTGATCATTTCTTTTTAGTCTAAATATGGCCGCCACATGATATTATCTTTAGTCGTATCAAGATTTGTATGAATTTCATTTTCTAGAATATTTTCTTTCGATTGTAATTTTGAAATAATTGAATTTGTTTGAGAATATGATGATTGAGTTGTATAAATGTATTCATTAGACATATGTGTTGCTTTTAAATGAATAGGATTTTTATGAATTAATAAAGATGATGAATGATTCATTTCATAGTAACCACTATCATTTTTAATAAATGGCAATGGTATTGGTGTAGATTGATAATTGAATTGATTGAAATCATGTAAAGTAGTATCTGTTATTTTTCTTATAGGTGTAAATGCACTTAATTCAGATGGAATTAATAAATGTTGACTTGTAGGATTATAATTTTCTTTATTCCAACATGATGATGATTGATGAGTATTTGAATGTATAATAGATCCATTTGATTTATTAACTGTTGTATCATTATTAGATGTATCATGCTGTTTATTAAAGGATTTTAATCTAATTTCATTACACATTTGTTTTAATTTCTCTTTCAATTCTATAGAATGATTAAATTTTAAATAAAAAACAGAAAATTCAACGATTAATGGAAAGTTATTTATGTAATTTCCATAAAAATAACTATTATGTCATAAACTACTTTGGTGGTAATCATTAGTAATATATTATTAAAACTACAATATTATGCGAAGGGGGTTTTGTGGAGATTTTGATAATTTTCATATAATTGAGATCATGAGTCAATTGAAGCTAGACCACATGGGAAAACTGGAAGCACTGGACGGCCGTTTCATGTTATTGTGTGACGGCCGTCCAGTGCTTCCAGTTTTTCCATGTGGTCTAGCTTCAATTGACTCATGATCTCAACTATATACGATAATATGCATAAAGTTTATATTTTTAAAAAAATCAAAAAGATGAATAACAACTGGAAAGGGTTGCACAAGACAAAGTTTAATGGAGAATGATTGTGAGAGGCCTATTCTCCTCCACAAGGGGCAACAAGCATGTGTAAGTAAGTAATATCAAATTTATATTTAGTGATGAAAACAGCCTAGTTCACTCTTAAATATCGATTAAAATCTTCAATAAATATGGTTGATCCATTTCTATAAAACTATTCAAATCAGCGAATGTTAGAGTTTATAGAGTATAATTCATTCTCTGTGAATGAAATATATATGTATATGTACCTTTAAAAGAACCTTTTTTGTTTAACTCATTTACTAAATACAGGTTCATATACATCAAATTTGAAAAAAAAACATTTTATGTAATCATTAACGTTATTAAACAGCTGGAAAAATTTAAAGTAAATAAAATGCGATTTGAATCTGTGATGTAATTATAGAAAGTTGATTATTTTAATCATTAAATCATATAAAAGAATATTATTTGGTAATGAACTAACCTGGGTTTTCATTTAATAAAACTGCCACATTTTTAAACACTTCATAACACATGCCTAATATATCCACTTTTTCGGTTTTTTGTTGTTCTGATATCTATGTGGAAATAAAAATTTTTAAAAACATTTTGAGCATAGTAAACACAGGTTGAATAATAAAAAATATTTATATTATGAATGTATTCATAATGATGATAACATTCAGATAACTAATATCAAAGGAAATCAAATTTTATAATTATCACGTTTATTATTTGAATCTTTTCTATGATATTCCAAATGTGTTGAACGGGAAAACTCGAGGAAATGAGAAGAATTTCAAATGAATACTCCATGTTTTGTTTATCATGACTCTGATTACTTAGTTACAACTTCATTTATGGTTGTATGTTTTATGTTGAAATGAAATGCCAATAAACATAATGATAATAATAATGTGGTATATGCTACTTATGTCAACATAGGTAGTATATAGCACCAGTCAAAGTGGAATGCCTGGCAGCAGATGGTTGGGAAGATGGAATCGAACAGAACGGCAATAGAGAGTAATTGTTGTTGCAATGAAGGAAGGATGAATTTCGACAAAATATTACCTACATTTCAAGTAGGTTTAATCGTTAGGTCATGAAAGTTCATCTATCTATGAAAGACTTATTTTTAAGTTAGTTACATGTGAGCAATTAACACTACTATTTACTTATGTCTTTGTGCAGGTTTTAACATACTTTAAAAACATCTTACTTATTACGTTGTTGATGAGGTTTACTGAGAGTGCAGAAACAAGGATGAAAATGTTGTCTATTACTTCCTAGTATACGATGTTTTAAAAATTTGGTATCCGTACGGTATCATTTCAGTTTCAAGCCATGCAATACCTTTACAAAATCATTTCAATAACCTAATTATACCTGGAAAGTGATTAGGATAAATAATTCTTAGCTCCATTTACAAGTAATGAGTATACTACCAACACAATTGTCCGGCTAACTATTCGTTCAAAGAAGATTTTGGATTGAATATTTATATATTATCTGTAAATTTATACTGTTCATTATTACAAACAGTCTAACTTTATTTAAATTCGGGTATCACAGAAATGAATATTCTACTTAAATCTCAGTGTATGATGTTTCATAGAATACCAAACATTGATTCCCACATTTTAGAAAAAAAACCGAGTTTTTTCGTCTTCACAGGTTTGTAGATCATATAAATTAAATGAATACAACTTATTAAAATTTCTTTGTCAGGATTTAACATTGAATGCATATACTAGTCAGTTATAAATTAACTTTATGAAAATAAGAGTATTGCAATGCATTATAATTCCTTAAAAATCTATTCTATCAATGAAAACATTTATATACAATTGGTTATAGTACATTTGTTTATAATAAGTTTATATAAGCGAAAGGCATAAATTCATTTATTAATTGTCTGTATAATAGATACAGTAAATTTAGGGGTATCAACACTAAGGTTACACTTGATAATTTCAAATAAATTGAGCATTGTGTAGAGAGTTACTAATAAATATATAATTGTTATATTCCAATGAGTGGAAAAATTGTATTTCTATTTTTGATTTGATGTAAGCCATTTCTTCAGAGTAAATAAACAGCCGAAAGTCGGTTATTTATTTACTTCGAAAAAGTAGCTTCCATTAAGTCACGAAACGTCAGAAATACAATTTTTCCACTTATTGGGGATATAACACAACTATATATATATCATACATAAAACTCGTTAGGTAACATTAAATAATTGATAACTTACATTTAATCCAATCAAATTCATAGCTAATTTATGTAATTCAGACATTTTATTTGCTATACATGCACGACGACTTCGTTCAATGTTTTGCTTTTTAATCTGTAATTTAAAAAAAGGAAAGCATAAAATAATACTACAAATGTCAAATGTCAATTCATTATTTGATATAGAATTTAATTAAACTACTACTGATTATTACAGAATAGAATATTATAATTCAATTTTTAAAAATCCGCTGATTGCCACTATTCATCTTTGCTTATAAAGTTTGTGACTTAAGGCAATATCAAGGCAAACCACACAGGATGCATATATGTCAATAAGAGACTGATCAATTGAAGTCTTAAATAATAATCGAAAGATATGTGTAAACAACACCAAGTCAATTTAATTATATCTATATTTAATAAAATAAAGAAATTTAATTGGTAGTATAACCCTTTGCAATGTGACTATCATATCATCTTGATATGTTGAAGAATATCATGATCTTTGGTAAAGATTAAAAATTATGTAAAATTTTCTGAGTTTTTTGCTTTTCGTGATCAAACCATTAATTTACATTTTATCACAGTCTAACCAATATAAAAATTTTATTGAACTGATTTCCAATCAAGTTGTCGTGAAACTTCTGTTGATAAGCAATAGCACAAAAATTAATCTTTTGGAAGTTTTTGAGAATGTTAATACAGTATTTAAGCGTACCTTCTTTAAAACGATCTATTATATCACAGCAAATAAACTAGTGTGTAGTGGCTAAAACGCCATACCTACATATTCTAATTTTTCTGAACAGATCGATCATATTGATCTTACTGTTTATTCACAAAACCTGACTTCGTTAATATCGGATCTGCAACATATAGCATACTTTTATACATATAGTGTGCACATATTCATTAAATCTCCTATTTTTTATCTGGCGTTTATTCTTCGTGTCATGAATTATCTTTGTCCTAAACATATTCGACCTTTATTATCTACTTTGTTCTTGTATAATCAGTCGACATTGTAAATATGGGTATTTTGTTAATCTCATACAATTATTGTAGTTGTCTAATGAAATCATCACGGTGTCTACACAGGATACTAATCAACGAATGACCATAGCTAAATTTAATTAGTTCTTAGATTGATCATTACTGTTTTAATCTAATAAATTTTACATTAAAATATGAAGACAGAATAATTGAATTATTTAACTATAAATTACAACCCCTATTTATCAAACAGTCGTTAATAATAATATTTGATAATTATTAACGTTTAGATAAACAGTACTTTGGGACCATTACAATATATGATCCCTGCTTAAAATTCTTTATTGTGGTAATAAAATGGGTGGTATGATTTCATATTTCGATGGAATTTTACGAATTTGAAAATGTGTTATTTAGTGTTATAGTTGAGAGTAGTGGTTAACATATAGAAGCAATTACATGTTTTGTGCCGTTGATTTTAATCGGATGCTTATCATACAGTATCATCTAGATAATATACGTATACCACATTGTATTGGTTACTAATGTTCATGATGTCAGAATATACTAGCTAATTATAGACCATTTAGATATCACACAGCTTTCTCTTAATTATCTGCGTTCTGATAATGATATGATCAAACGATTTTAACGACATAAATATCGGGGTGTTATAGAAAAGTTTTGAACTACGGAGTTCAATATTTGAACCATTGCCATGCCAACTCATTCGTCTAAATTTCGCTTACTCTCCACAACGTCTAAACAATCGTGGTTGTGTTAAGGGAATGGTCGTGTTGATGTAATCATGAAAAGTATCAAACTATGACAAAATGCTTGACAAATACTTCAGAACGTTTAATATCTTTATCACGAAAGCTATTTTATAAATTAAACTACCTTCATAAAGATAATGTCTTTTTAAAAGTGCAACTTATAAAGTAACATTATACTGTAGCTGAATGCTCGATTCCAAAGCAGACAATATTTATAAAACCCGCCTATTTAACACCATAAAAATTATATTCACAACCAATGGATCTTTAAAATTTATCAAAGATAAAATCCTACTATCCGTATTTAAACATTAAGGTAATAAATATCTGAAATAGAATTATTTTCAAACTCAAATGATTCAAAAATGAATTATTGTAATAAACATGACTGTAACTATCAACTTACACGTCTTGTTTGTTCTCTAAGTTCTGGTGGAACTGTCGACTTTCGACCTCTTCTTGAACAAGTTTTCACATTATTAGATTCCATATTTATCAAGTTAATTTTTTTATTCCTAATGTTCTCGATATCATTAACATCAATAGTGTTCATTAATACTTTCATTTGAAACAAACTAAATTCTGTATCACATAATCAGATACCATTGACAATCATATTTATATATTTCTTTTAATAAGACATAACAATTACTCATGCCATATCCAATCAAATTAAATTTTATTACTCTATTAATAGATGGAGTTAAGGGGGTAAGGGAGGTGATTAGATAACAATATTACAATCATGTGTAAGCATTTTTTCCTTTAACCAAAGGGATGCTGTATACAAAATTAACCAATAGAAAATAACTAAAAAATTATTGTATAATAATGAGCTCAAACGTTAAGCAGTTTAACATTGAGTAATTAAACGTTTCTAGTTCATGAAGTTAGTTCTTATCAGTAAAGTTACTTTTTGTTTATTAAATGAGATTGTTTGTCAAGAAAATTAGTTAGGTTATGTGAAGACTTGTAGTATTCATATTCTGGTAAATTATGAAAATAGGATTGTCTAAATAGATAGATTTATCAGTACGGGAGTTTAGGTCAGAGGTTATGCAATTTCATAGTTTAAGTGATGAAATGTTCTTAGATAACCAGTGTATATCACCAAGTACTAGACAACTGTATCGTCCCACTATGAGACTCATCAACAACACGAATATACGACCCCGAAAGAAACTGAATCTAAGATATGCATGTCTCATAGATGGTGTCTAACTTTTAGACTATCACCGAATGACGACTCAGCTGTCTCAAGGTTAGACTTTCACAGCGAGTATGGATGGATTTACGGATGTTTACGGTTGTTGAGTTTACGCTAAAAATAAAAAGCTTCCTGGTGCCTCCCAGATTTTAATGGTTGTCTAACTAAAACATTTATTTGATGTAAGCTATAAATTTACTTATTTGGGTAAATCTAGAAATGTCAACGATTAATGGGTGAATCACTTTAAAATTTATACTCATAATCAGTAGCAGTTAGCATTTGGATTGAACATAGACAATATGGCTAACAATAAAATATAATTTCTAGCTTTGTAGAAGAAGTCTACATTTTTTAGCGTATAAGTAAATTCAACTATTTGAATTTGTATAGAAAGATTACTCAAGCTCTAATAGCGTCTGTTTATGTCATCGAATATCGACGTCACTTGGATTATTACCGGAAAACATTGAGAGCTGAATAGCTATGTAGTCTGGTTACGAAACTCCTCAGAAATGAGTATCTGCAATTCATCAGAAACTGAACCATGTACATTCAGGTCTTTCAGCAAGAGCTTAATATGTAGATCAAAGAGATACCATCCATTATTCTACATTCTTAACTTCAGTTAATTCGTGAGTGTTTTATTTGAAGACACCATTTAAAACTTTTATTAATATTATCAAATAAAATTACCTCTTAGTTGCAAATACGGTAAGCATTCTTATTCAGTTCCAGAGAATAATTTCCCATTTTTGTTTTGAACTAGAAATTCTCAAAACCAATAAGCTTTAGGAGTATTAATATTCGATAAGAATAACCAATCTTAGTTTACTGTATCAATTTATGGATTTTTTTCCATGGGAGTTTAATTTCCCCCTGATTTCTAATACCGATATACGATTTATAAAAGCCTTTGTTATCTTTTAAATACAAGAACAGATTACCATTGCACAATTAATATATTGATTAGATAAATTACCATTTGAATCCCGAAAAATAGAAACTATTAGAATTTTGTGTTAAGTATCTTTATTTAAGAACATTGCTTCACAATTACTTACTCTATTTCTTTATAGTGATATTAAAATGTATACACTTACATAAACATTTTTATCAAGCATTTCTTTATATTTACATATTTAGTTTTATGAAAATCCTATTTATACAGTAGACGGTTACTTCCAAATATTGGTGACAACTAATAAGTACCCTGATTGTTCAAAATCAAATAATGTTACATCACAGTTCCAAAGATAAATATGACAATATAAACACTAGAAACTGCAAATTTCTGTTCTTTACATTTTATCTTTCATATCGCTACATAAGTCTCTCTCTAAAAAAAAGTCTGTTATTTCAATATTTACTGAAAATTGGTTGCTAAAGTTGTTATAATTTAATTATTTGGAATGCATGACACGTGTATTTCACTATTTCTCATCAACCTTTTCAATGACATGTACAATGACATTTATGTAAATTAATTTATAGGTATCCTATTCAGTGATATATATTTGTATGATAATTTTTAATTCGATATGTATTTACTAAATTAGTATCTATAGTACAATTAAAAACAATGCGGGAAATTCATTGTACACCTTGATTATCTCAATAGGACGAAACGGCCGTCCAGTGCTTCTAGATTTTCCATGGTGGTCTAGCTTCAGTTGACTCATGATCTCAACTATATAAAATTACTAAAATCTCCACAAAATCCCCTTCTGATATTTCATTATCATTTGGTTTAAATATTTTTAATTCACCAGTAATTATATAACGTCATTTCGGAAAAAATGTGAGGAAAAAACACAACTTATTTTAGATGCATTCTATGTTTAGAATAAGCATAGATATTTCAGCTTTAGTAAATTCGAAATTACAAATAAATATTTTATTAACTGACGGTTATTGAAGAGACGTCAGTTTCTAGTATCGTATTCCTCGAAACCCTATATATTAAAAATAATCATGTACTCGTTAGTAACTAGATTCCGTGACGTAGTTGTCTGAGTTCTAAGAAGAAGTAAATTCAGTTACTTTATAATATCAGCACGATTTTTGTTTAGTTACATCAACTATACCTGTCACATCCTCCTTTTTTTTAATTTCACATATAAGTATTTTCTATTAGTCCTTCAAGGAATCTGTTTTACTAATTACTCCATGATAGTTATCACTTTTTAATGAAACAACTTGATCTAGAATAAGAACCAGATCGATTCTTGACAAATAAATTGATGTGGATTCGTCACTGTGTATACTATGACAAATTGGTTGCACAGTATTTCTAGGTTTTCAATAATGGTTTAACTAAGATTAATTTGTGATTTAAATGATGAACATAATTGAAGTTGAACTTCACTTATTGTAATATTTAGATTACCGTGAGCAGCTACAATTCGTGTGTGTATTCTATTCTGTATAGTATTTTTCACTTTAGATTACTTTCATTTTCTTTAATATTGTTATTCATTTTAGTGATTACATCAGTTATTACAAACACTAGATACATGAATCACTTGTTGTTGTTTACTTTTATCTTTACATTGATATTTTGGCCTGCAATTGATCAGTCTCTTAGTGGCATATGTGCATCTTATGCGGACCGCCTCGATATAGTCTGAAGTCACAAGCTTTATAAACAAAGATGGATAGTGGCTTGCAGTGGAGTCCAGGACGCACATTTTGTCCTATTTGGGAAACGTCGGCTGGATGTACCTACATCTCAGAGTTGATGTTTACTCTGGGACTCGAACCGAGCACCGTTCGCTTCGAACATCATTGCATTGTTCACTTAGCTATTGAATCCTGATAACTTCCTGCTTGTGAAATGGGGTGAAGTTATATTCACTTGTTGTTGTTTACTTGTATCTTCCCATTGAGAACGGTACTTGATTCGAGTCTCAAAGTGAACATTAACTCTGAGATGCAGGTACATCCAGCTGACGAGTCCTAAATAGAACGAAACGCGCGTCCTGGATTCCACTGCTAGCCACTATCCATCTTTACTTACTAGACACATAAATTCAAAATACGTATAATCTTGTAATATCTCTATCGTTTTTTTCAATCTTTTACTAGTCTCTTTACACTGATTATACAGGTGGATCAATAAAAGTCTTATCATGTATCATTCTTAATACTCTTTAACTTAGACAAATACTTCTAATAAAGTTTTATGTGTATTAATTAGATTTTTATGATAAATATATAAAATCAATGAAATGATCAACAATGATATAAGTATACTGGTTAATTTTATTGACTTGATAATGAAATTTTGATCATACTGTGTAAAATTGTTACAGATTGGAGTTACGTAATATTTCCTCTTTTTTTATCTTTATTGAATTACCAAGAGGATAGAAAAAATTCCTACAGAACTGATGTGTACTCATTAAAAATCAATGATGTACCATAGCGAAGTTTTTGTTTGTAAACAGATAAATTAATTAACATGTTAAACAATTTGATGATATAATCCTTTTCATTTACTAATCATTTAAGAATATACCGATTAGTTTATTGTATTAATATAAATCTAAATGTTTATTTGCATTTGTTTGTTAGTTTGATTAATAAATTAGTTTCATTAATGTAGATAAGAAATAACTTGATGTTCAACAAAATTTTAAACAGTATCATTTTGAATTTATGTGATGAATGAGTCAAATGAACTATTAAAGTAAAATTTCACTTAAAGTAAAGATGGATGGTGGCTAGCAGTGGAATTCAGGATGCGCGTTTCGTGTTATCTAAGACTTGTCATCTGGATGCACCTGTATCACAGAGTTAATGTTCACTATGAGACTCGAACCCAATACAGTCCACTTTGAACGATAACACATGATCCACTACGCTACTGAGTCCTGATTCCACTTCTAGCCACCATTCAACTTTGCTATTAATACTTGTGACTCAAGGCAATGCCGAGGTAATCCTCACAGTATGCACATGTGCCAATAAGAGATTGATCAACTGTAGTACTAAACATCAATGAGAAGTTTCATACAAACAATACAAAACTAAATTAAAACTTCACTTTGTTTTAGCTTGTGATTCTTGTTCATTTATCATTTACATATTCATTCTTAGATTTAACTGAAATTGATGGAATGCTATGTAGTTTGGTGAAATTATGCCTTCTGAATATTACATAAACTATGAGGATAAAAAGACTACTTGAATTAGTATAATCTTGCAATTAATTATGATAGCTGTGAGCATGTTCAACCATCTAGTTCAGTAGTGTAATAACTTGGGAATCATGTTTGGTATTAAAATAAAATTGGCTTCGTGATTTCCAATTAAATAACATTAGCATTCTAGTGACTTTACTGCAAGATCAAACAGATTTCAATCCTTATTAAATTCATCTA